GGTTCAACTTTGGAAATGATCATGCAGACAATGGACTTCGGATTAAGTGCATTCCTCTAAGTCTTCCTACCAATATGACCAAGTTGCGAAAATAAGGTCAACCTGCATACAACTAGAGGAGACTGCGACCATACAAAGGGCCACACCACCTTGGTCTTCAAGCCTTAAATACAGGAAAATTTGTGACTCAGAGCTAAGCTAGCTATACTGGATGAAATAATCATCACTGACCTGGAATATCTTTGTATGCATATCCACCCTTCCCCAAATACCGCCTATCGTCTTGGAGACCATCAAACCACCTGGATACCGTCCATCCGACCTCCTTTTGGTTACGTATCTAATAATTACTTTGTTTATTTATTATTGGGTGAAAACACAGCTACTCTCGCCTTTATATCTACCTATGCATTCAATTATATGCCCGTGAATATGTTCAGCCAGCAAGATAATTTCTTACATTCATCTTCATGTATCACTTATATATCTCTCCACAAACAGCGACATTTTACAAACCTTTATTAAAGCGTCACCACTACTTCAGTCCCATTCACTTTCTTATCCCTAACCTACCCCCACTTGCGAGCCCAATCATACAAATCTTTATCTATAGCTAACCTACACAATTGCACTAATTTTATGCATAAGTACGGGTGAAATAAATTCGCCCCCATAATTGCGCATGTGGTACCTTAATATATAACTCCCATTATTGTCTTTGTCATATGATTGGCTTTGGATGCGTTACTGTCTATCTAACTGTACGCTACTTGCCTGAACTGCCTGTAAATCTCCGATGTCATCAAATTACTTAGAATTCCGTCATATTTGTAGGCAATGGTCTCCACCACTTAGCCATTGCGTCTTTTTCCATATATCCTTTCGTAATTGCACGTGGTTTGCACTCGCAACGCCTTTCATACACCTCTCATTGTCCTTACCCATGTTGCATGTGGCGTCTCATATGGCCACATAGATTTGTCGCTTAGTCACGCATAATGTGTCTGAGCCATACTGGTTTCGGGCTGGCCAAGCCAAGCAAAAACCCTTAGAGGCACATTTTGGCGCTCTGGCTAGGTCGAATTTCTATCCTGCACATTCTTGTTTTCTGGTATACCCACCAGCTTCTTCCACTCCATATGCCCCCTCAACTCTGCCTTCCCTGCTTTCCACCCGACTCTCCAATATGACCGCCTCCGTGACTACTTTGGTACCATTATCTCCAACCTGGGCTCCTCTCGATCGCACAAATGCCAACAAATGTACATCGGACTACCATGGTATTGGTTACTCTGACTACTCGGTGACTGGGCTCAAAATGTGTCCAACGGGCGGACAGATAGGGCAACAACACTACCAACCAGTGACGTTGTATACATCGACTTCGGGTCCGAGTCACCATAGCACCATGAATTTTCCAGCAAGCAGACCAACTGCCATATATAACCACTCGATGCGCGGAGCCACTCCACGGCCCCAGCAGCCACAGTTCGGCACGGGCCCTGGTCCAGGTCCGGGTCTCGGGGCGTTCGGCTATTCTGCCCCAGTGGCCAGGCGGCGAACCACCCTCGGACCACATGTTATGACTTCCTTTAGACAGCCACATAGCACGACAGCAATGATGGCGGCAGAGGAAACAGGCGTCTCGGAGTTTTAAAATTGGTCAGAAGTGAGGCCTGGGAGTGATTTGAGCCCTTGTTTGGAGCTAGGATATACTTAGACGAAAGAAATTTTTTGACAGACTGAGTACCTGAAAAGATGAACGTGAATACAACCCTCTTGCGAATTTGGAGAAAGATCAAGCGACTAAGTATACCAGTCCTGCGTTACTCATTGTATTCTTGAGAGAACTTCTAACTCAAGCCATTTCACTGACGCGCCAGCGAACGAAGGGTTTTAACGATCGCTACTCTTTTCAACCCCTTTTTCAATGCACAAAAAAGTTTTGCACCTACCCATAGCCCAAGAGGGGAAGACAGTCAGGCTGGAGGAAGAGAGCTGACAATTAGTCAGATCGTCTTCCTCAAGCACTTTAGAAAAATCCACAGGCACTCGGTTTCGCGAATAAGCGAGCCCTTTAACAAGGAAGCTCACAGATACGAGGTAACCTGCTCCTCAGAAAATAGTACGAATGGATAAATTTGTCTGTTGAACCCCTATTTTGGTTGAAATCGTCCCTAAGGAGACAATCATTTGTGCATAACTAAATATTAAGAAGTGGCCATGGAGGACAATTTTTCTTTCGTTCTGTTAATCTTCTTATCTCTCTTAGTAGTGCAAACATATTCACGAGCATACAAGTAAACCGCCTTTTGCCATGAAAATCTCAGTCCAGGCTTCCATCTGCAATTCGAGTGTATATTAACGTTATATAGGCCTGCCAAATAAACAACCTATGACAAAAACTAGATTCGGCTCGCAATACCACAAAGGCTATGACTGTTGTTCCGCCCTGTGGATTTACTTGATCTTCCTGTCATGAATGCCCCAGGGTTCAAAATAATTTGCATTTGCTCTGTAAAGCGTGTATCAGATGTACAATCCAGGTGCATCGGACTGCCCTCCAACATGGGCAAATGATAAATCCCCCGAAAAAGCAAATTTCACCCTTCAACAGTAATGACGCGTTTGCATTAGGAATATTATGTTATTATCCTAGTCTCTTTTTATCGACACAAGAAGAGGGTTCAAATACAGCATGTTCATATTCAATCATAAAAATTTATTTAGCCCTGCCAGATTATCAGAGTTCGCAGACAACGGTGAATGCTGAACCCCAGCAAAGCTTTGTTAACCCTTTATGACAATATTTTAATTTGTAGCACTACTCCCGCCATATACAGAGAAACACGCACAAACATGCACAAACACGTGAATATTACCCAGAACATACCTCTGGAGAATTCATGTTGCTTCTGCTTCCAAGGAACCAAGCTTTCAGAACAATGTGCCATTAGCTGATGCTCAGATTCAGGTTTTATTGCGTGAAAAAATAAATCCTTGACAAATCGAATGAGAATGCTACAAAACAAAAAGTTTGGGAACAAAATCCTCGCAAAAAATCCTGAGCAAATGCTAGCCAACTCGTATATCATGGTTATTAAATTTTAAATAAACGGTAGGATGGGAGATGGAAGGCAGATTTGCCTTCGAAAAATTGGAATTCGTCAAGCAATTTTAATCCGCCCTTTATAAAGGGGTTTCGTTTTATTCACCGTGGACTCGACTAAGAACACGTAGCTTCCCCAAGGCGTAAATTAGTAGGTGAGAAATATACTTTTAGATTTTATCATCGGGGCGCAGTAAAGATTAATGCCGCAGATAAGAAGACTAAGATGATTAGCTTTTTGCATAGTCGCAGTTTATTTTCTAAGACATTCTCAAACATTCTGGGGGATAGACACAAGCTAGACAAGTAAATACTTAGAATTTAGCGTAAAAGGATAATTTCCAGTATCTAGCCTAGCCAAGTGTTGATCCATTCCGTTTTTAAGCTTTGTTCAGCCAAAGGGGTCGAGGCGCCAGAGGCCGTATTTACTTGTTACTTTTTGTGTAGTTATGTTATATCTAGATCTGATTTACAATTTCCCTTGGTTCCAGCAATAAAGTGATAAGCTTTGATCTGTCCTATTACGCAATATCACCCTTGTAACTAATATAAGCCCTATATTCCAGTTATAGTCAAGACCTGGCAGTTTTGGGAGATAGAGATATTTTGTTAGTTCATCTCACATCAATCTCGAAGTCTGGGAGTTCACGCGTGCTTAAAAGTATGAGAACAGCAGATATAGCTTCAAGTAACGAAAACAGAGAGTAATCTCTGGCCTCGGCAACCAGAATTCTAGTGACTCTTTTTAACCAACTAATTAGTGACAGACACGAGTTTGGTTAAATCGCTAAGCTTCTCGCGTATATGACCATAATTAGAACCATCACCAGCAATCCAGTTCTATTCAAGACCTAGTATTCAACCTTATAGGACAGTCGGATATTAAAGAAGTAAGTTTAAGCAAAATTCCGTTTAGGACTATTTTATC